CCCCAAAACCCCAAAACCCCAAAACCCCAAAACCCCAGACGATCAACTAATCCTTGAATGGGTCCAAAAACACGGCAAAACGAACATCACCGACCTCGGAGTGATCCTCCAGCGTAAGAACTCCCAAATCTGGGAACGGTACCACCAATTCCTGAACCCCAACAATAGTAAGCTCCCCTTCAGCACAGAGGAAGAGATCAAGCTGATGCAGGCTTTCAGGCTGAACAACAGGAAGTTCTCCAAGACAGCTGTAATGTTCCATGATCGGTCCAGGTTTAGCTGTAAATACCACTTTTATAAAATCATTAGAAGAGAACTACCCGAGCTCAAGAGACATGATAAGTATAAAGACCTACTGGTTAAAGAAGCTATGGTCTGGGACTGTGGTTCTGTTAAGAAATTAAGAAAATGGCCTATAGATGTCATGCAGAATATCTGTGATGTTATTGCACAAAGACTAGACGATCCACATTATGTACCTCCTAAGCCACTTGTTGAAGAGAAAGCCAAATCACCAGTTAAATTGACTGCTACTAGTCCCAAAAAGATAGTTAAAACAGATAGTCCAAAGAAAGAGACACCAGTGACATTGAAATCAGAGATTATAAAGATTCTATCGAATGAAAACGTGGAGATAGCAGAAGCTTCTTTAACTTCTGATGATGATCTTATTTTGAGAGTGAATCTCGGGATTTCTTCCCTCAAAAATTGCTTTAATTTCGAGTAATTTCAGTCTAAAATACACTAAAATTCAAATTTTTCTCTAAAGATGATTGTTTAAATACTTAATTGATTGATATTTCGAAGAAAATCCCTCAAAATTTGCTAAATTTCTTTCAGAAAATGTTGAAAATGAAAGGAAAGAGTCTTGATCAAGAATGAGAATCAAAAATGATCAGAGATCTTGAACTCTGGGTCAAAGGACGCGAATTTAGTGAAAAAGGAATAACTAAATGGAGAGGCCGGTTTAAATTTAGAAATACTCCAGCCACTGCAATTGATATCTCTGAGGGAGTAGAGACTTCTCCAACCATTGCTGATTCAGATTTTGTGGACTTAAAACAAGAAGATGAAGACTTATACATTTTTGAGGAGAAAGAGGATACAAAAATCCAAGATCCAAATCCCTCCCCATTTTCAAGTCTTAAAATTGCACAGATCTGTAAGGATTCCTGCAGCATAGTTCATCCATACGAATGGACCGTCGATGAAGAGGTTCAACTATGCAAAGCAATGGATAAGATATGAGGAATGAAACTCAACACAGAGATATCTCAGAAGAACCTAGAAAAACTCGAAAAGATCTTTCCTGGACGAAAATCCTCTGAAATCCTTAACCACTTCAGTATGGTTATCCTTAGATGTATCTGATATGCCAGTGAGAAAGCTTAGAACCTCACTAAATAACCTATTAATATAATTTACCACCAAATCCAAATCACCCATATCTCAAAACTCTAGTTCATCATCTCATTTCATAACAATCTGAAAACCACCAACAAACTCACTTCAGCTTCAGTATACCCAACTTGGGGTTTTGGGGTTTTGGGGTTTTGGGG